TATGGGATCATGACAGTTCTGAAAGTTACTTTTATTCTACTTTATTAGTGATATATTAGGGAATATATTGCTAAATATTCCCATTATATAGTGCTCAAGCAGACACAGTTAACAAAAGGTCCTGGTGAAAGGAAAAGGTGAGAAAAGTGATTAGCATTTCATGAAGACTGATTATATGGAAAGCSTTTTGCTTATTTTAGTATGGTAAATATCTGTCTTTTAAAATCTCTTTTAGGCTTGTGATCAAATTGTTCATCTTTAATTTTTTAAGGGAAGAAAAGCACAGCCGATGAGCTGGGCCTGAAACACCTGATCCATCTCTACTAAAAACAACTTGGTGTTGCGAATGTCTTTCTAAAATGAAGCAAAGAGAATAACAGAGACCACACAGGGTCTCCTCTGTTCAGTCCTTTGATGTATTTTGCTATTGTTACAGCTACTGGGACTCGTTTTTATCTTGCCTGTGAGCACAATAATGGTACCATATTGAAATGTGTAAATACATTTTCAGAAATTATGTAAACCGCCTCCTCTGTCCTAACAAAATGATGCATTCGGAATACATGAACCCCGGAGAATATGCTACTACCTTAGCTTCCAAATTCCTTCTATTCCTAATCTCAATGTTATTGCACAGTGAGTATTATCTGACAAATATATCTGCCTGAATATTTAAGTAAATASTTTGTCTTGTCATTTGAACAACTCTTGTCAATGTTACTTAGTCCTTGCTCACCTGTCTATCCCTATGAGTGATGATACAGAAACAGATGAGGTTAAGGTCGGTGTGTGTTAGCTCAGATCCGCTCTTGTCTTACTCCAGCCTACGATGGTCTCACAGGGGATATATTGGAGGAAATGAAGGCTTCAAAGGGGACAGTGTAAGGTCATGGACAAGAACTGCTTTTTTAAGATCAATTCTCTTCCCTCCACACCCACCCCACTTTTGCAGAGGTTTCTAATACAAAGTGGTATTAGTCCTTTCRGTACCCACTCCCCCAATAACTGCCACTGAGCAGTACAGCCAGGAGAGAGCAGAGGCCCGAGGGCAGTGCGAGTGGATGGGCCCTGCAGTGAGATGCTGCCACAGCAGCTAAACATGCCTTGAAGGAGTATTATGTATCATGATGTGACTCCACACACATATGTCATACCTCGCCCTTGGCCAAACACCAATGATGCATGGCGTTTCAGCATCCAACTTCCCTAACAGCTCTGGCCTGTGGATAACATCTTCTGGAAAAAAAAAAAAAAAAAAAAAAAAAAGAAAAAAAAGAAAAAAAAAAAGGAAAGGAAAGGAAAAAGAAGGAAAAAAAGAAACAAGCAAAAGCAACCCTTGCAAATCCAGATGTTGGAAATTTCCAGTCCCTCGGGAAGACACGCTAAGCGGGGCACAATCCCAGTTCGTGTGGCATTTCTTTCTAATAGGAGCGGGGCCCAGCAGAGCAGTCGCAGGCGCGGGCTGCCCCCCAGGCGCGCGGGGACCCTGGCCCGGGCAGCCGCGCGTGGGGCGCCCCCTCCCACGGGCGCGGCGGCGGCGGCTGCTGCGCGCGGCGGCGCCACACGGGGGCGCCGCGGTGCCGCGCCGGTGCCCGCGCGGCCCCGAGCCGCGTGTGGGGGAAGGGGCCGCCACC